AGAGTGTGTCAGCAGTTCCTGCAAGATGAAGGCATTGATGCTATGGACTGGCCTGCCTGTTCCCCAAACCTGAATCCAATTGAGCACATCTTGGACATCATGTCTCGCTCCATCCACCAACGCCACGTTGCACCACAGACTGTCTAGGAGTTGGGGAATGCCTTAGTCCAGGTGTGGGAGGACCATCCGCCACCTCATCAGGAGCATGCCCAGGCATTGTAGGGAGGTCATACAGGCACGTAGAGGCCACACACACTACTGAGCCTCATTTTGACTTGTTTCAAGGACATTACATCAAAGTTGGATCAGTCTGTAGTGGTTTTTTCCACTTTAATTTTGAGTTTAACTCCAAATCCAGAGCTCCATGGGTTGCTAAATTTGATTTCCATTGATAATTTTTGTGTGATTTTGTTGTCAACACATTCAACTATGTAATGAACAAAGTATTTAATAAGAATATCTCATTCATTCAGATCTAGGATGTCTTATTTTTGTGTTCCCTTTATTTTTTTGAGCAGTGTATATCTGGCAGGGAAAGAAAGCAAGAATAAAACTTGAACTGCTACAAGATGCAAAAATAAGAGGAGAGTTTGCCTTGCCTAACTGGGAGCTATATTACCAGGTGACAAGTTTGATGTGGGTAAAGGAATGGATAACATTAAGAAATACTAGAATACTGACTTTAGAAGGGCATGACCTGCTGCTAGGATGGCATGCTTTCCTTTGGTATAAGGGAACTAAAACACAGGAGTACTCTAGAAGACATTATATTCAAGAGGCACTGTTTTTGAACTGGGAGAAGACAAAAAGACAATATTATTTTAAAAATCCATTATGGATATCTACTATTGAAGCTTTTTCCTATCCAGTAATATATAAAAAGGAACAAACAGTTAGATATGGTGAGATACTGAATGAAAAGTGTGAACTTAAATCTATCCAAGCATTGGAAGAACATTGGAAGAACATTGGAAGAACAAATGAATTGATTTTCATATTTGCAAGTACAATCTAGATTTGATAAAGATTTTAAAACAGAAGGTATTTATGATAAGTTGACTGATTTAGATAAAATTTTGATGGGTACTGATGACAAGGTAATTAAAAACTTTATGGACATTTATTAGAATTTAAACTGGAAGAAGAACAAGTTAAAGAAACGATGATTGCTTGGGGGAAAATTTTTGGATATGGGATTGATTTAGAGAAATGGGAAAAATTGTGGTCTCAAAATTATAAAATGACAATGTCAACTCCGTATAAAGAAAATTTATATAAGATGTTTTACAGGTGGCATCTACCCCAGATGAGAATTGCAAGAATGTTTAAGAATAAATCGGATAAATGTTGGAAATGTCATCAGATACCTGGCTCATATTACCATATGTGGTGGATGTGTTCGGATGCAAAAAAAAATTGGACTAAAATCCACACGTGGTTGGAAAAAATGATAAAACAACACATAGACTTTAAACCAGAGATTTTTTTTTTATTGGGAATTATATCGGAAATATACAATAAAGAATTGAAGTATTTGATTGTAAATATTTTAACAGCGGCTAGAATTGTGCTTGCTAAGAATTGGAAAAATGATAAAATACCTATGCAGGAGGAAGTTATTAAGAAAATTATGGACTGTGCTGAAATGAGTAAATTGACATTTGAAATTAGAGAACAAGAAGATAAACAATTTTATATGATATGGGATTTGTTTTATCAATGGTTGGACAAAAAGACACGGTAATGTAATAGATTTGATGACTTTGTAATAGGTTTAATAGCTAGATATAAAATATAATATAGACATATATAACCATTGGATGAAAGAATAACAAATTTTAAAATAAAATTTGAAATATCTCATATAAAGTGATAGAATAAATAGTTTGGTCATGGATGATTAATAATTGATAAATATATAAGCATATGTTAGCTTGATAATGTGGAAATTTATATAAATTGAGAAATGATTACAAAAGGATAGCACAAAAGATTTGTAACCAACTGACACTCTGTATGTATATAAGATGGAAGATGGTTTTTATGTTTTTATGTTTTGTTTTTATATGTTTGTCTTAAAAAATAAAAACTTTTTTTTAAAAAAAGAATGCCATTTCCGAGACACGATTTGCCAGAGGTGTTACCAAAAGGGACACATTGTGAGAGCCTGCAGAGCTGCACAGCCCAACAGCCAATGCCAGAGGAATCCAAGCTCACCACCACAATCCAGAGCAAGCCAGACTGAAAGCAGGAGAAGTAACTTCAGCCGGAGCAGAAGAAATGATGAGCTGGCCACTGAGAGAGGCAAAATGCACCAGACAGTGACCATGAGCCATTCCAGCACAACCAACGCACAAAAGGTACATGTACAAATAAACGTTGAAGGGAAATCATGCCAGATGGAAGTAGATTCCAGGTCATACCTATCCATGGTCTCCTGGAATATCATCAAGCAATTAATCCCTGACGTAACCAGAGCTAAACTCAAACAACAGAGACTAATTATAAAAGACTATCAAGGGAATCGTATTCCAGTGATAGGGAGCAGCAAGATCCAAATGAGCTTCAAGAATTTCTCTGGTCATCTACCCCTCATTATAGTAGACCAGGACAGACCCAGCCTGCTGGGGCTAGAATGATTCAAGCCCTTGGAGATCAAGGTTGCCGAAATAAACAGCATCACCAAAACCGAGTGGAAGAATCCTGGAACATTTTCAACTGACAATTAGGTAAGTACTTGGGGAACCCCATTTCATTTAACTTACACCCCAACATTGCCCTGATCTGGATACAGCCAAGACGAGTCCCATTTGCTCTACGACCAAAGATTGACAAGCAATTAGATAAACTCATTGCCTAGGGGATCTTGGAACCAACCGACCATGCAAAATGGGACACCCCAATAGTTACACCTATTAAGCCAGATGGGTTGGTGTGCATCTGTGCTGACTGTAAGGCCACCCTGAACCGCGCATTGCAGCAATACCTCGTCCCAGTGGTGCAACACCTTTTACATTCCCTGGAGCGGGGAAAAATATTTGCTAAGCTCAACCTTGCCCAAGCCTACCAGTAATTACCGGTAGATGAAGAAATGGTGGAAGCCAAAACAATTGTCACACATAGGGGGGCATTCAAATGCAAATGTTTGCATTTGGGGTAAGCGTAGCCCCAGGGCTCTTCCAGAGCCTAATGGAGTGCCTCCTGCAAGGACTAGAGGGTATTGTGCCCTACTTCGATGATATCCTGATATCAGCCAGGGACAAAGGCCAATTTAAAAAATGCTTAAGGGCAGTGCTGAGCCATTTCCAAGAGGTGGGGCTAAAAGGAAAAAAAGGAAAAATGCCAACTAGCAGCAAAAAAGGTGGATTTTTGGGATACTTGATTGACAGTTCCGGCATATACCCCACCGAAAGCAAATTAAAGGTAATCAAAGAAGCCCCCACACTGAAAAATAAAACTGATCTACAAGCCTTCTCGGGATTTCTTAACTTCTATAATATATTTCTACCACAGAAAGCAATGATTGTGGAACCTTTACACAGATTGCTTGACAAAAAAGCAGTCTGGACATGGGGGCAGAAGGAAGCAACAGCATTTAAATGAATCAGAAGTATTTTAACATCAGACAGCGTATTAATACAATACAGCGAAACGCTTCCCTTGATTCTAACGTGCGACGCATCACCATTCGAAATAGGCGCAATAATAAGCCACACACTTCTGGACAGGAAAGAAGCCCCCATAGCCTTCTACTCAAAAACACTATCCAAGGCAGAATGAAATTATAGCCAACTCAACAAGGAAGCATTGGCCGCGGTAACAGGAATTAAACACTTCCACGAATATGTGTACGGGAGGAGGTTCACCCTGGTCACAGGTCACAAGCTACTACTGGGAATAATCGCAGGAGACCGGGCCACACCAAACATCCTGTCACCGAGAATGACCAGATGGATGGGATTCCTATTGGCACACAACTACAAACTAATACACAGACCCAGGGTAAGGAGTGAGAGTATGGTCTCTAGTGGAAACAAGGTGGCCGCACCCACTGAGATCTTCGAGGAGGTTCCAACAGGAGAATCCAGAGAGACTATGGACCCTTCCGAACAGACCTCAAACCCAGAGATGACTGAGCTGCGCAGGTCAGGTTGCACCCCTAAGAGCCCCGCCTACTTACGGGACTACGTTCACTAGAGAGTGCCAGATTGGTGGTTCTGAACCAGTGGTGAGGAGTGTTAGATATTTGCATACTGACCTGTAGTTGGCTGAGCCACAGAAGCAGGAAAAACAAACGTCTGTCAATAGCTGAAGCCGCGGACAGCTCCCCTGTAAAAGGAACAGCCACAGCTAGGTTTCTTCAGTCTTGTATGGAAGCAAATAAAGAGTTTTACTAATCCGAGCATCCTGTGTCTTCACTCTGCCCACGATCTAATAGTATTACTATCCTTTATTATGATATTATTAATTAAGTGAACTTTTGAAAATGATGAATTATGTACTATTGTTTCCATTCAGAAAGAAGTCACTCTGAGTTCAATTGAATAAGCTCCATTGAAACATGGAATGGGAGCTATAAACACCACCAATCAACAGAAAGGGGCTTTTGGGGTTTTAAAGAAATTGTTTTTTAAATATTGTGGTTCTGAGGTAAATATTTCATTTTAGCCATAACATAACCTACCAATAATTAAGTTACAATTATAAACCAAATCATAAAATGGCATTTGGTATAAGTATCATATGAATATATGCTATATTTTAAATGTTTCTGTCCACATTGGTAATTCCATGCCCACTTGAGAATAATCATGATGAAAATATGAAGTGCAGCAGGTGATGTGGCAAGTCAATGGCTGTTCTTGTGTTAAAAAATGATTAAGTAAATCGGCATTTTCTCTAAAATCAACTTGTTAGAAAAGCCATTTTTCTCATGGAATTTTCTCTACCATGCAATGAAAGATCATTTGTAAATTTCTTCCTTTTTCTTTCATGTATAGAAGTACTGGTGTTTGGAGGCGATGTCTTGAAATTTGCAGGTATGAATGTGAAAAATAAAAGGAAGTGATTTTATTTTTACACATCAAAAATCATTTTTTCTTTTATTGTGTTAGTTTACATTTTTTTCAATACCATGATATTTATATAATACATTTTTTAAAAAATTGTATTGTTTAGTTATCCTAGATCAGGGGTGTCAAACTCGATTTCATTGAGGACTGCATCAGGGTTGGAGGGCTGGGGTAGGCATGACCGGGGTGGGCATGGACAGCATGATTTCACTTGTGTTGGGGGTGGTCTGTGATGCTCTGCCAGCGAAAATGGGCTCCTGAGCTCAGTTTTCAGCTGCGACTACCTCCTGCAACCCTCTGCCAGTGAAAACAGAACTTGGGAGGGCTGCACTCTGTTTTTGTTGGCAGAGTGTTCTGACATAAAACCCTTTCCCAATAAGACAAACAATAATTAAAGGGAACAGAAACTTTTTAATGAGTCTTACGAATTCCCAGTTAAAAGGCTACTGCAAACTAATTAACTCTGATAAGCACAAACCTTGCCAAAACTGTACGAGACTGCCAAAAATTACAGATAAGAAATATTTCACAACATAAGAATCCAACATAAGATACTGCAATGTCCACGAGGCTGAGTTTCAAAATGTCTTTGCTTCCTGAAAAAAATGTTCTCTTCACAGCTGGCTTTTATCTTCTTGAAGGAGGGGCCATTACCTTGCAGCCTTATTCCCGACTTGCCCATGCTGTTGAACTGCTCTTTCCTGCGAGCAATCCTGCATGCACACGCACTTGGCACAGGCTCCTCAGGAACCTCCTCATCGCTGCTGCCAGTCCCCACAATCTCTGAAGGCAGTAGTCCACTCCCTAATGGTCCTGGCCCCTCATCTGAGTCCTCGTTCTCCTCAGTCATCCGCACCTGCTTCTGGCTAACCACAACACAGAGGCACCTCGGACCAGTCTTTCACTGTTTCCAGGATGGCCCCACGAGCCAGATCTAAGCACCCTGTGGGCCAGATCCAGCCCACAGGCCTTGAGTTTGACACCCCTGTCCTAGAATATGGGTTATAAAAATATAAAAAAGAGGATAAAAGGTGGACATTCTATCATTATTAATTATAGTTTAGGATATCGGTGCTATGAGTGTTAGGATTATTTGGCTTTTTTATTCAAAGTTTAATATAGCTTTTGACATACTGTACATCAAGGTATTGGTTATGCAGTATAATAAAGGATTTGTTCTCAGGCTAAATTATTTGATTTTGAAATTTCCATTGTATTATTATTAGGTACATCTCTTTGTATGAATATTTGTATATGTTAACACATGTTAATGGAAAGAAAAAATAGATGTTTAACAAATGTAAAATATTAAAAAGTAAGAAAGAAAAAAGCCCAAAAAGTAAAAAAAATAAAACAATGAAAAAAAGCTGTTAAATTTCTGACTTCCCTTTTTTACATATCTGCTAATTTCAATATCTGTAAGAATTAGGCCTCCTTAAAAGCCAAACTATAGCTGGTTACATTTACTGTGGTGCATGATATATTTAATGTATGAGAACTATTCTTGCTTAAATTTTGTTAAAATTATGTATGTACTGTATACTGCTAGTTTTGCCATTGCTACATATTATCCAGGTATAAGTTTCTAATCAGATATTGTCAGAATTGTGTCTTTCTTCCATTTAAAATTTATTCTTTTTTTTTTGAAATTTTTATTTGGGTTTTCACAAAAACAAAATACAAATAAAACATCTTTTTTTGAAAATAGCATGGTTCCAGGTTATCACTTCTTCATACAGACATCAAACTCAATTTCATGCTCATTTTTATATTCCATATCTTATTACCGTTTTGTATTTTCTACATAGTTTTTCCCCTCTTTTAATTTTCTCAACTTTATTTTAATTATCTCATCTCAATTCAAATAATTATATTTATACTTTTGTCTGTCCTGTTTCAATTTCATATTATCTTTTCTTATTAAACAATTTTTTCCCTGTAGTTACCAATTGGAGTATGACACCTTTATATCTTTTAATTTTATCCATTCAAACTCTTATTTAAGCTTCAATGTATACCTTTAAGATTATAGCATTCAATATAATACATAACTTCCAATCGAATTCTGCTTGGTACATTCTTAAAATACACACTATATTTTTAAAAAGAAAAAATTATATATATATATATATATATATGGATCTTTGGTTATTCGGGTTCTCTCCCGCGTAAGATTCAAAGTATCTAGGCAACGTTTCGGCGAGGTCCCACTCGCCATCTTCAGGCTGGTGCTTTCGGCTTAGTGCCAGTGCAAGCAGTGTGTGACCGGAGCTGCCATCTCTCTCTATATACAAGTGGTGGGGGATGGTGTGCTGGGCTGGTTGGCTGTGCTGCAGCCTCTTGATTGGTTGATGGAGTTGATGTTGGTATAATGGGCTGTGTAATGGCCTTTTGTTGTGGAGATATCCTGGATCTTGTGCTGTCATCTCCTGGGTCGTTAGCCTCTTGTGTTTTAACGGCTTGGGTAATGGGTTGTGTGATGGGCTTGTGAGTTCTTTTGTTGTGGTATCCTTGGTCTTGCGTTGTAATCTCCTGGGTCGTTTGTGTTTTGATCTCTTTTCCATTAGCCTCCTGTGTAGTAACAGCTTGGGTAATGGGTTGTGTGATGACCTTGTGAGATTTATTGCTGTGGTA